TTGGGGGGGGGGGGGGTCGGTGACTATCCATACACAAGACGGGAACAAAACGCATTTCGGCTGCCGTGGAAAGGCTGTTTTCTGTTTTTTCGATGCTCAAAAAATCATTGGCCATGAACGTTTTGCTGCAGAAGTTACGTTGCCACCAACAAGGGCAGTGGATGGACGAAAAAGAAAGCGACGGTGGTGGATAGCGGACGGACGTCAGAACGCCTTCTACCGCAAAACACGTCAGTAGCAACGCAACAAGGTGACTGCCACAAATGACAGCTCGTCTCCCCCCAAGTATCCCAAGACACTCTGCTGACATAGGTAGACCAGCCTTCCACAGGCGCCACCTCTTAGGGATGAACTACCGCCGAAGTCATTCGGAGACGACAACATTGAAGATATACAGGTAGAGCTTCGGCTAGCGCTAGGATCCATTGCTAAATCATCCGGACTCTTTTCTCTGTGGGTAAAGATGGATTCGTTCTTTGTTACAATATGAAAAACAACAAAATTACTCACTTCTGAGCCTGAATTTCGCCCGCTGAGCATCCCGGCTCTCGATTCCACCCCATCCTCCACGCTACTGTTCCAGTCTAGTCCACCCCAAGATAGGAGATACAGGTGTAAAGGCAAGGAGCAAGAGCACAAGGGCGGATAGGGAAGAGGCGTTATGGAGAGGGGGCACGCGCGCGCGAGAGAGAAAAAAACGAACGAGAAATGAACAGAGGTAGTATCCAGCCGCGTCCTTGAACATTCAGTGCATAGACTTCAAAACGAAGAAGAAAAAAACTGTGGGGAAACCAAACAGGAAAGCCCTCTTCGACATGGCAGCCGAATTGAGACAACGAAAAACAAAACAATAAATTAGATGAAAAAACAAGAAAAATGCGGGAAAATTAAACAGATAAGCGCGCTTCGAGATGACGGTGGAATTGAGACAACTAAACACAAAATCAACAACACATGAAAAAAAAACCGGGGAGATCAAAGAGGAACTAAACCCGCCCCTCCCCCCTCGAAAAAACGAAAGACACGCACACACGAAAACAACCCACCTGCCAAGAGATCGTCGATTGGGTCGAGCGGGGTCGCCAGCGACGCATTCAGCTGCTGATCGACGGCCAACATCTCCATAAGAGACTTTGATGCGGGTTGGGGTGTGGCAGCAGTTCGAGTAGGACAAGGGTCGGGGGCGAAAACAACGTGGGGTATTATTGTACACTCAACTATTATAACTTGTTAGACGGCGTGCGCGGAACAACACCAAACACACATGTTTTTCGGTTTCGTAAGCGCGGCACGTATCGTTCGCGCGACCACGTCGGCGCACCTCAAAGGAGCCACAAGCATCACCATCACAAGCGTACAACGACATAGCAACCAAGACCACCTGGCCCTTGTGAAACCAACCGGCACAAGACGCACCGCTACTCGGAAAGAGACTTTGCAGTCGCAAATTGAGGGTTCCCTTTCCACGAAACTATTACAACTTGAACTTTATTATATTATTCCCTGCTGGGGTTCATGCTCCAATGACTAACAGTTCCTGCTGGGTTCGATTTCCAACTACTGCAGTACAAGTACAGTACCAAATAGAAGGGGCGAGGGATAGCGCAAAATAAGATCTTACTGTAATACAATGTGATGCCTTCCGTACACCGCGCGTGGGAATTAACTCTTCTGGTTCCCAATGATGGGAGAATATGTCTTTCTGGCAGAATTGCTGGGTCGCAGGGGGCCCCGTAGTATCCGGGTGCCGTAAATGACACAAGATAACACACACCCTGGACCGATTTTTCAAATCTCGATGTATCAACAACAGAAGGAGTCACAGCGCCGAAAGCGGTGGCGTTGAAGCTGTCTCGTCGAGACCTTTCCGAAAATGTGTTGTTTCGTTAATAATTTATACATCCTCTTCGTCGTGGCGTAATCGAGCTTTGAAAATAGGTCCAGGGGGTGTGTTAACCTTGTGTCATATACGGTACACACAAGGCTCCACAGCCCTTCTCGGCAACGGGAATGTACATGCCCCCCACTCGCTGCCGTCCACATACCCACCAAATGCTACCCCATGGCAACCCAAGACCATGGTATGCAAGACATACCATGGTATGGTATACAAGATATACCATGGTATGCAAGACACACCATGACATACAAGACATACAATGGCATACAAGACATACCATGGTAGGTATACAATAGTCAACAAAGGGTGAGGAAAATGAGGGGAGCGTACCTGGTAATCCTGGAAGCTGAGGTTCCGGTCCATTAACCTGGTGCCTGGCCCGAACATGCCTACATGGTTGCTCCCCGCCCCTTCTGCGAAAAAAAAGAAAGCACCACTTAGAATCATTTCGTTGCAACATAGCTCACGAATTCATTGCTTTGTATATTTTCTTAATATGACACAACGAATCCATCTTTATCTGAGAAAAGAGTCTAAGATAGATTAGCAATGAATCCATAGCGTCAGAGGAAGGCTACTTGTATTTCCACGATTTCCATTGTTAGATTTTCTTTTGTTCTGGAATTTTTATCTGTGGATAGATAGCCCTCGATAGAGACGAAATTGTTCTGTTTATCTGTGACAAGAAACAAGACAGAAAGAAGGACGGCCGGATAGTTGGACCCGCTCTGCTGCTGTGTTGGACATCGGCAATATACTGTAGGTGACATAAGATACCATACCCCCGCAACCGATTTTCATAGCTTGACTACACACTCCACGACGAAGAGGATGTCGAAATCAAACGATACGTTTTCGGAAAGCTCTCAACGAGACGTTTCAAACTCCGGCACCTTCCACTGCTTTTCCTGCCGAGTAACCGAGCTTTGAAAGTTCGGTGTAGGCGGGTACGTGCGTGACACCTTAGGCGACGTTTTGCAGCAGCACCCGATGACAACACAACACGGCAACGGCAGCAGCAGCAGCAGCAGCAGTCGTAGAGAGCACTCCACCAAACCTACCGCACGGCAAGAGCAAGGGCACAGCACCACCACCATACAGCAACAGCAAAGGAAGGACACAAGAACATCCAACAACAGCAACTCACCTGGCACGCCGGCAGGCGAATGTCCCAAAGCCCCCCCGTCGCTCCCCCCCCCTCCCACCAACTCCCCCTCTCCCGCGAACCCCCCTCCCTTCTCCGCCGCCCCCCTGTCTCCCCCGGCCACATACCCATCCGCCCCCGCGTTGGACTTCAACTCCCCTGAGTTCTGCACCGACAAAGGAGACGATACCGCGTTGAACCCAAGCGGAGCAGGAGGCCCTTCAGCACTCGCCGCCGCCGCCGCCGCCGCGGCTGCACCCTCATGCTCACGGGCGGCCGGCCAGCGCGCGGAGGGGCAGGCAGCAGGGGACATGTCCGCCGCCGCTGGTGCGGCGTTTTCTCTCGCCATGTTGTTGCCCGAAGGCTGCTGTTGCGGGGGGTTCGACACAGCAGCGGCAGCGTTGCTGCCACTGCCGCCGCTGCTGTTGTCGTTGTCGTTGTCGTTGTTGTTGTTGTTGTTGTTGTTGTTGTTGTTGTTGTGTGCGATGGGCGGGGTGGACAGCAACGGCTCGAGGTGCGGCATGTAGGCCTTCACGAGGAGGGAGACCGTCGGAGAGCACGAGTGGCATAGCCGCGTGATCGTGTGGAACGACTCAAACCCGGGAAGCTCGAACTGTGCATGAGAATAAATTAGGGAGGGAGGAGTGGCGAGGCGGGGGGTCAGATGATCTGTGGATAGGTTCGTGGATAATGTTCGAAAACACAACGACCATTCTGACGCACATGTGATGATCCCAATGGCCTCCAATGTTTCCAAAGAGAGACCGAGTCTACAAGCCTGCGCCCCAACATGCAGCGCCATCGGTAGCGTACTGTGAACACCAAATCCACAGAGCTACCCAGGACCACAGAACAACAAACAGGGTGGTTGTTGCTTGCGGCAATCTAAGTGGTTACCGCCGGGCGTGTGTGCCATCCTCTGCAACCAACTGGCACCATCTCCTGCGGTCGGTGTCTCTATCCATACCGCCATTCTTCGCTCGACTGCAATACAGTAGCGGTCCCGCTACAATACTGTACAATGTCGGTACCGAAGGTACCAGCCCCTTGAACCGGCCTTACAGCGGGCAATCGGCATGGTTCAGAGCACGAAACAACTTGTTTTATGCCATCTGCGTCACGCGGGTTCACCGGCATTATACATACCGGATTTGATGTGAATGTAACGACGAAAAAAAACATAAAAAAAAAAAAGAAAACGGGACCACCACTGTTTGTACCCACCATGCCCGGCCTTAAGAAGGCGTTGAAGGTCCGTCTCAGTTTCTCGTAGGCTCCCGGTCTGCCGGCGATGGCCAAGTGGCAGGCCGCGAGGTGCAGGGGATGTCTCCATAACGACCAACGACCGGCGCCGGGGAACGGTTCCAACAGGGCGAGCATCTGGAGAGAGGGGGGGGGCGGAGAGATACGTACATATATATATATATATATAGAGAGAGAGAGAAAGAGAAAGAGAGAAAGAGCAAGAGGGAGAGAAGGGGGAGGGGGGGCAGGGAGAGAGAACGAGAGAGACACAGAGAGAGAGATAAAGTTGGCAGGGGCAGTGCGGGGTGTTGTAGACGGAAGTGGTAGGGTCTCACGATCATACATATTTCGACAAGGTATGTAGACGAACGGCGTGTGGCGAGGTGCGTCAGGATTTTCACTGCTGTTCTCCAAACCGAGCACCGCTTCTTAACGAGCAAGAGACAGCTTCAGCATAGCGGGGGATGCAGTCGGTCACAGGCGGCGAGCACGTTGTAATCAAAGCACGGTCACGACTATATGCAGACAGAGAGACCAACCTCTTCCGCGGAAAAACCTTCCATCACCATCGGGCAACACAACTCAAGAAGCAGCGGCGAGCACGTTGTAACAAAAGTACGGGCAAGACATTATGCAGAGAGAGTAGTAGAAGGCTTTTACTCCAGAGGCGATTTTTTTTTTTACGATTTTGATCTGACTTTTCTTCCATTCTATTTTCAGTACAATAACAAAGATCGACAACGAACAAGCACAAGGCGATCGCCCACGGAGTACAGGCCTCAGAGAGAGACGAACATCGTCCGGGCGGAAACAAACGCCACCAGACAACGCAACCCACCACTTGAGACTTATCCGCCGCGGCCGTGGTCCTCCCCAAACAAGAGTGGAGCCAGCTGAGCTTGCTCTTCAGAAGGCCGACGGCGAGGGGACAGCGAGGCAGGGCTCTCACGTCGTCGTTCAGATCCGCGCAGAGGTGCGAGTGGGCCTTGGCAGACAAGGGCAAGGGGAGCGGTGGCAACACGACGGAGAAGCACGGTTTTCGTTTACCCGGATTGTGCAAGGGGGGGATGGGGGAGCGTGTGTGTGTGTCGTTGCTATTGGCATAGGCTGTGCTAGCCGGCTGACCCAGTGAGACTCGTACATAGCGAATAAAAAAAAACATGAGCAACACGCTTGCTATCATCGGGCTCGCCCTGCAGGTGTGTGTCTCTTTGTTAATAGCATCGACCGCGGTAGCCGGCTGACCAATGAAAAGACGTCAGTCTCAGTGCGGTTGAAAACAAAAAATGCTTCTAAAGGCCATCGTCTGGGACCCCTTGAGGGGGCGTCATGGGGGAGGCTAGACCTTTTCTCCGGATAAAAGTCAGACGTTGGTTGCGCGTTTGCTCACCTTCACCAATGTCCCGTACCAACCCTCCCCGCTGCGCCATTCCGCAAGTGCCTGGCAGCTGGAGCCGCCATGCCCTCCCCGGCTAGCCGCCGCGAACGGGAGCTTCGTGAACCGCCTGGAAGGGCACATGTTTTGCATGCCTTAGGTGTTAGACCAGTGACCTCACATCCCTACAATGGCCGGACGGAGAGACATGCCGGGTTTTCGCCGGCCCAGGCTACTACGTTTCACAATGATGAAACGTAAGCTGTTAATAGCCGTCATCCTGGCGCTTGCTGTGCCAAACAAGATTGCAAGCTGCTGGTGAGCAGGCCGCCAACATGTCGGGAGAGAGCACTCGTAAACCTAACGCGCTACTACTCCCTCGCTTGGCCTCCTTTCCCCGCGACCACTACGTTAAAAACCAAACCCACCTCAACGTGTCCCAGCTCAAGCGGTTGAGCAGGGACAGAGCGTTCCCCTCGGTGATGAGCATCGGGGTCTGCTGCCGGGGTGTGCCGATGCCAACGCTCGAAACGACAGCGCCAGAACCCCTCCCGGCCGCCCCACCCCCCCCTGCCGAAGCTTGATGGTGGTGGTGGTGGTGATCGTGGTGGTGGTGGTGGTGATGATGATGGTGGTGGTGGTGGTGGTGGGGGTGGTGGCGGTGGTGTTGGTGTCCCGCGCCGGGGGAACCGCACCAGTCTCTCTCCTGCTTGGAGGCGAGGAGGAGGTCGAGTACATCGTGAAGGTGCGTCGATGACTCCGCGACTCCCTGACATCGGTGGCAGGACAGAGGCCGAACAACCAGAACAACAAGAAGATTGGGGATTGAGTGCGCGCATGGCAGGGCGTGGCAGGGCGGGGGCGGAAGAACCAGAACAACAAGAAGATGGGGGATTGAGTGCGCAGGGTCGAGAGGGTTAGGGTTAGGATCTTGACTCCCAGACGAAAGCGGCGGAGGGGGTGACCAAAGAAAAACATCAACAAGATGCGGATGGACTGCGGGGGGTCGAGACGGTATGGGGAGGGGAGTAGACCAGAACACCGAATGCTGAATCCTTCATCACGAGTGCAAAACAACCGGGTCGCGCATCAAAAAGCTGTCTTTCTCGTCCTTGCTCATTGAGCCCGAAACATAGCAGTACCTCAAGCTCGGTAAACCGACGTACGACTACGCAGGCTTGGCTTGGAGAACGAACGATTCGACGCCAAAACGAACCAGGGAGAACGCACGAGCGAGCGAAATAGGTCCGCACAGGGACAAACATATTCTCAAGTATTTTCCAAATTATAGTTTTATCTTCGTCTCAAATGTTACTAGACTTGCCCCATTTCCCATTGCATATCGCTCGCTCGCCATTTGCAAACGGCATCGCCTGAATCAGGCCGACCGCACACTTCCCTCGACCCTAACCCCTCCATTTTAGCGAAACAGGACCAGGAGGGGGGCGCGCAGACTCCAACCCTAACCCCAACGTCTATACTTTACCCAGTATGTTTGCTTGCATAAAAAAAACTGCGTAGACTACTGCCTATATCAGGCTGGCCTTACACCCTCGACCCTCCCATACCACCCTTCTTACCTCAAAGCCTGCGTCCAGGCACTCGTCCGACATATCGTAACGGCCCAGCATGTCGTACAGCACGCACAACATCAGGTCCGCCCTGACGCGCTGTTGCCTCCGGTTCGCGCAAGAGCTCAGAGCGCCCCCTCCCCCTCCTCCGTCCTCCCCGTACGCCTTCGCCGTGTCTAGCTGATCTCTCGCCATCTTGGCGTAGACCTCGCCGTCTTCTGGTGAAGCTCCCTGTTCGGACAACAGAACAAGGGGGGTGGCGGTCCAAGATTAAACGCGGGTAAAAAGAGGAATTTAGCACGAGCAACTCACGAAAGTGGGAAGTATATATCTTCGACTCTTGTATGTGGATAGAGATGGATTGATGGATTCGTCGCGTGACAGTAAGAACAACAACAGGGAGCACACGTGCGAGCTAAAAAAACTATCCTCGACTTTTTGTCGGTGGATAGAGGAGGATTCGGCGAATTGCTGAAATAAAAAAAAAAGGACATACGCGTACTTTCGGAATGTCCTGAACCGGAAAATTTGCGTGCAAGCCCGTCCAGAATTCACATTCCGTTCATCCACCCTGCCTCTCATACATGAGAGGGGGGGAAGCTGGACCTCCGACTGTCTCTACTAAATCCTAGCCCAAACCTGTGTAAGGACTACCACTATTTTCTTAAAAGGTACAGCGGCCGGCCCCAAAAAAACACCTCCAAAGAACACCCCCAAAAAACTATATAACTCGAGTGCTGTGACGCGACAAAAAACAACAAAAAGGGGTCATGTGCGTACCACCGAACACGAGAGAGACAGCATTCTGCCTCCTCCCTCCCCTCGTGTCCCCGTCTGATACGATACAATACAACGCAAAACGTACGCCGACACATACACGCAACGCGAGGGGTGTAGACTTGCGCCGGAACGAATGAAAACACACACACATAGAGCTGAGCCCCTCCACGAGGGCCCCTCACGGGGTCCCAGATCATGGCCTTCAGAAGGATTTTCTGTTTTCAGTCGCACTGAGACTGACGTCTTTCTATTGGTCAGCCGGCTACGGCGGTCGATGCTACAATAAAAAAAAAAAACACACACACACATTCCAGCCAACGTGCAGAGTACCAGGCCGAGACCCCCCCCCCCCTTCCCCCCCCGCGAACCATCTGTGATGTGATAGCCTGGTCCGGTGAAAACCCGACGTGCTCCGTCCCGGCATTATAGGGATGCGAGGTCAACGATTTAAGGACTACGCCATGCGTTAACAGGGTACCCCCCCTCCCCCCCCCCTACACCCCCCCCCCCTACCTGGAGCATGGCCCCGATGCCGACGCCGGCCCAAAGGCTCGCCCCCTTCTCGGGGGTAACCCCTCTCTTGAGGCCGCTCGCCACCCCCCCCGGCGCCCTCGAACCCTGCCGGTCCCGCGACCTCACCCCGCCCACCTCGCCCCCGTTAGCGCGTCCCCCTTCGCCGGGGCCGTCGGCGGGCAATCTCGATGCCCCCCCGCCCCCCGCCCCCGCCCCCCCGGGCACGGCCGGGGACGACGTTCTACCTGGCGGCGGTGGCGAGCGGGCTTGGCCGTCAGGGTCGCCGGCGCTGCCGTCCGCGGCGGAGGCTGCTGTCGTCGTTGCAT